TATGAAACACCACTTTAAAATATCTTTCGGTGGTAGAAGGAAGGCTATCCAATAGGTAGAGTTACAGTTACAGGGTCTGTGGATTCAACATAAGAGCTGAAAAAGAGCTGCTCAGGAGTCCAAACCAGCTATAAATGCAGACCTTTTGCAGATTTCAGTTTTTCCTGCCAGCGTGCAGGTAATTTGTGTTTTTACTTAAACAAACACATATTAGATCATACATTATAACAGTGACTCTGTGTGTGTACAGCGTTAATACAGCCACCAAGTAGAGAAGTAGCAAAAATATTATTAACAACCTCTCATTTAGAATACAAAAATTACCATTAAATACAATGTGGCAACATGCGAGATCAAAATAGACCTTAAAATATCACACGCAAGCTATTCAGGTTTCTTAATACAACAAAATTGGCAATAAAATAATGTCAAACTATTTCTTAGAGGTAAAAATAGCTCATTCTCCAAATGCAGTTCTCTATAAATGTAGAAAAACTGTAACTGTCTTGGATATAGCATAAGCTATTTATCTAAAATGCTACTGCCATTGAAACAGATGTCATTGCACAACATCCTTGTGCCACCCACATACTGTTCTCCTAGTTGCCAAACAGAACTGTTTTGAGTTATTTACCGAGTGATCAAATTCAAGTATTTCTGCTATGATCTCTATGCTACATTAAAGAAAAACAAAAAGTACTTAAAAACAAAGACGTAATTTCACATGATGTTTTACCATGATCTAATATATTCAACATGCCTTCATCAGCACAGATTATCAACAAAAGACTAAAACTTTAACAGAAGTCTTATTTTTAAGAATTTTGTGCTTCAGCTTTTTCCATTTCCTGCTTACTGTCCATTATACTCAGTTTCAAGCTTCTGTTTTTAAACATCTTCAGTCAACTGAAGAACACGTAGAAATAATAACAAAGCTTCTTCCCCAGTCCTAAAAAATCATCTGTTCTTTGCAGAATAACTACGTAAAACCTAAAAATCATGCCACAGATCAAGTCAGGCTGGAAAGGACTTTTGGAGGTATCTGGTGGTGGGATCACCCTACCTAATGCAGGGCCCATCCAGGGCAGCTCACAGGGCTTGATGTCACTTGTCAGGGGACCAATCTTGGTCTGTACATGCCATATGCCACCCGAGATTGTAGAACTTGGCCATCTGGTTTTTATTCTGTCTTTTCACGCTGTCTTGCTTTTTCATCTTTCCTCCTTTTTTCGACCCTTTCACAGTGATCTCTGGAGTTCGTCAATATCAAACTGCCATCAGGCTTCCTGGAGGGTGAGGTGGGGCATGACTACCCAGAGTTCAAACAGGATCTTCCCAATGCATGCCATGAACTCTAAATGCAAAAAGCTTGTAGTCTGTTCTCATCAGTGTCACCTAATTGTTGCCAAAATTTAAGCTACCAGATTTTCTCAACCTGTACCCGTTAAGAACCCAGACTGTATTTGTTCAGGAACATAGTGAAGCACAATGGAATTCATATTGAGCAGACTGTCTGCATTTACATTTGTACAAATGACTGACATACTAAAGAAATGAAGAACAGAAAAAATAGTTAAGTTCAACTATTCACAGTTTTCTAGTTCAAAAGAAGTGCTTTAATTATTAAAAATGGGGAAGAGAGAGAGGAATCTGAAAGACATCTATAGATATATATGCATTCTAGCAACCCAGTGAATATATCTAGAGCAGATGACAGCTAAGCAGAAAAATCATTTTGCATCTAAGACCTGTTTCTCTGTCCTTGAGAATGCAAAACTTTCTTCAATCTTTCTGGATGACCAGCAATAAAAATACTGAAATTAACATTAAAATACATTTTAGTATTTCAAGAGGTTTTTCATCTGATCAGATCTTGACTCTTCGATATTTGTTTGCTAATAAGCCACCTAACCCTTCAACTATCCAGCTTTATGATGCCGTATTTAGACCTCTCAACTTTGTTGAGCTGCTTTCAGATTACAACACAAAGTCCTAAAGATAAGCGCAGCAGGCACGTTTTTTTAGCAGAACATTTGCCAGTTTGGCAACAGCAGAATCAACAAAAGACAGGCAGAAGGAATACTAGTCAGAGGAAAGAAGAGAATTTGCTATACACTCCAGAAATAAAGTTGTTTGAAGACACACTAACCCACCGATTCCAGAGAGCTGCCTAGCAATTCTCTAACCTAATGTGGGGAAAAAAAAGAGTAAAAAAGTTTCCATTAGAAACAACTAAAATAGCAAATTCTGCATTTGATATAGTAATTTGATTATATACGATCTTCTTTTGTACTGATGTAGCACACACTTGATTACTAGAAGCAATCCTGGCTAACAGCTAACACCGTAGAAATGAAGCATCCATTGCCACTCAAAGCCAAGACTATCACTTCTATGATACTGTTATCCTCACTGGCTGGGAAATAAGCACCCATCTACATTGCATTCACTAACAGGCAACAGATCTCGGACTACAAAATCATTTTATCCTTCACTTTAGGCAATAACTTCGATGCTGAAAATCCAGTCAGGCTTGGGCCTACACGTGTTAGTTGTTTGGTTTTCTATTTTTTTTTTTAATTTAAAAAGCAACAATTACACATAACTTCAGTGGGATTCTTTCCAAAGAACATAATCTGTGATATCTTTGCTGTCAGAAAACCATTTCATTCATCCTGCTAAATGCTGCTCAACCGAACAGTAATGTAAATCATAACGAGTTACAATTTCAAAGTTTTAGCTGAATATTCAAAAATATGTCTTTACAGTATGGGTTGAAAAGAAATACAAGGTCTGATACCTTCAGAAGCTATGTTCCCCAGGAAGAAGAAAATAAGTATTAGCTAAATTACAACAAAATCAGAGCATCTTTTTCATCCCCACTCTTTCATCCCCTCAAAGACCTACAGATGCATAATTTTAACATTTTAATTAAATTCAAGTTAATTCATGAAAAATAGCTTCATGAAACATACAATGCAAAGCTTGTGTTTTAAGGAAAAGCAGACAGTTTTCTGATTTTTTCACCCTTATCTGAATTCTGTGCACCTATAATATGAATAAACACTAAGGAAAAAGTAATTAATGTATCAAGCAATAAATGAGTGCTCCTAAAGGTATCTTTCTAAAATCAAGTCCATCTAGAGTACTTTAAACATTTATCATGTTCGGTGTGGCTCACAAGCGATTTATTCTTCTATCCAGTTGAAAACAATTGGGCATTTACCATGGTATATAGCTATTCTTCCTCACCCTATAGCCTGGACAACTCAATGCAGTTGTTTCTCATACTGAATATTGTTCAAGACCAATTACAGATTCACATCTCCTTCAAATCCAGGTTATAGACAGGTGAAGATGCATTAAATGGTTGCTTCATATACCGTAGTCTCTTCTTATGATTACACACATTTAGCACAAACTGTCAAAGTACTTACAATGCAGTGTGAAATATTACAGTATTTAGAAACCAACTAATGTAGTTCAAGAAGCCCTTAATTCATCAGCACAAATACTTTGTTGGTGTTGGCTCTTAATTTTCTTATAAAATCCTAACTGTGCATTTTGATAAAGATGAAGATGAGCATGGTGATTTTGGAAACGGAATAGGACTAGAAGGAAAATATAAAATTACAAGAGTGTGTATAGGTGTTAAAGTTGGTTATAACATTAAAAAATTGAGAATTTTCTGGGTTTATATTTGGTGAACTTTTTTGTGGCTTGTCCTAAATCTGAAAGCACCTGTCCATACTGCTAAAATATTAATCTCTCTTTTATGAAGTTACACATATAGGCAGAATCATGAGTTTTGTGTGAGTTACAGGCAGGTATCCCCTCTCTATAATTTTACATACTCCATCTCCCTATATCCTGTTTGTATGCCCATACACTTGTACCAGAGGATCGACTCTCTTCTGAACTATTCATATGGGGCTGCTAAACAAAAGAAACAAAACAGTGAACAGTTCCCTGGTACGCTCCATAATTACTGGATAATAAAACCTTACCTCATGAATAACCCTATTGTCACATAAACCCAGACATTTAAATTTTGGTATTAAACATTCAATTAACACACTGCTACATACGTAAGTATTTATGGGTTCAGCTTCATAAGTCCCTTAAATATAGGCTCCTTTGAGAAGATAGCTGTTTAAAAGATGGTAATAATTGCTGAAGGCTCACTGAGCCCTCCTCTGTGCATAAATTACCGTGTCTTTTTGGGGTCAGGACAAAAATCAGTTTGCTTCGTTGCAAATACAATGAAAGGGAAACCATCCTACTTAAAGAGAGGGACCTCTTTCTTTTGCCACCACAGTCACTGTTTTTCCAGAGACTTTTTTCATGTAATTGTCACTAATTACAACTGAAAGTTAATACTGTATGTCAGCATCAGCAGATGAAAAACACGTATAAAAATCATAGAATCATAGAATGGTTAGGGTTGGAAGGGACCTTAAAGATCATCTAGTTCCAACCCCCCTGCCATGGGCAGGGACACCTTTGACTAGACCAGGTTGCTCAAAGCCTCATCCAGCCTGGCCTTGAAGACAATACCTTGGTATGCAGTTCCAAGTGATTTGCTTTTTTGGGAAGAAAGTGCATTAGAAGTGTGTAAAAAGCTGAATTTTGTCACCAGATCCTCCCCAGATACTGTTACTGCTTAATCCAAAAGCTCAGGGAAAAATTAGTAGCTATATCTCAGACCGCATCAATGTGCCAAAATGCTGAGTAAAGGTTTATGTCTTTTTGCTGGCATTTTTTCTTGCTTTCTGTGTGATTAAGATCACTCTGGAGTTAAAAGCTATTGATCTGCTAGAATGCTGCCTCCCGTTCTATATTTTCAATCCTAACGGGCTGATTAAACAAAAACACCTTTTAGCAAAACATGGAACTTTTTTCATATTGCTTACCGTACTGTATTAGGAGTCTTATGACATAGAAAAGCTCAGCATTTACTAGGACATTATTACATAGATGCTAATTAAAAACTGACCAACCTTTCCTTCCGCATCTGCTGTTGTTACCTTCTCAACCTTGTTCCTGTTTAAAAATTTCTTCACCCATTCTTCTACTTGAACATTGAACTTCATGAAAGTCACATAACAAAAATACGCTGTCAGGAGCGTTAAGCTTTCCCACCACATGATTAAGTTATCCAGAAAAAAGATGATTAGCAAGATCAAGTCAACGATGTAAAAGGACACATCTCGAAAGAGTGGCCACCAAGTAAGGTTCAAGATCTCTCTAGAAAATAAAGCACACATTCCAATAACAAACAAGATATTGAACACGGCAGATCCCACTATTGTACCAATGCCGACATTGCTGTGGGATATAAACACTCCTATTAATGAAGTGAAGAGTTCTGGGGCTGACCCACCAGCAGCCATGAAGGTTGCCCCTGCCACATCATCAGAGATGGTCAGTTTTTCAGTGATGACAGTCAAGGAAGGAACAAAGAATTCATCGCAGACTATGGCTAAGGCTATGAACATGTAAATCATTCCAATTACATGGAGGATCACTGCTCCCTTTCTTCTCTCCTCAAGAGAGAAAATGTCCTTGGGGTACTCTCCCTTGATATGATCATCTGTTGCATTGTCATGCTCAGCTTCATATTTCATAGAAGTGTGTGGGTCTGGAGTGTCATCTTCATACTGTTCCATGAAATCCAACAGAGTTCTCTGATGCCCACGCACCAGCTTTTGGCTATCTAGGCTGCTGGCCAACGCCATGCTATGTGGTTCCATCTTGAAAAAGGCACTAACTGAAAGAGAGAAAGTACTAATGGCCACTACACCGACAAGAAGCCCTATAACTCGTACCAGTCTCAGTTTTTTCCTAACGTTCTGGTGCCGTCTGCAAGCGAACAGCGCTTCCTCCAAACACCACTCCTCCAATACACCAGCAAGAGTCTTCTTCTGAAGAGCCATTTTGTGTTCTGTGTGTGAGATGCTGAGGGATTCAGATGGATTGTTCCTTCATACTTTTCTCCCGCTTTGAAGTTAGAAGTGATTTAAACGTTTTCCCACAATGAAGTACTCTTCATAGGAAGTATTTTCTTCATTCGTCTTAAAAGGAAATGAGTATCATTAATATTAGTGAAACAGCGTGCGACTGGGAGCTTCTAAAAAGCATTTTCAGAGTAGGTAAAATTTAGAATTTAAAGCAGAGTATTATCAACTGTAACATAAACCCCAGTCACATCCCATCAGACACAGCAACAATACGTTTGTTTCGGCAGTAACCCTGCACATAACAGTCTATCAATACTCAGATCATTTGATGCCTCTCATATGGCTCTGAGCCACCGCTCGCCTCAGTTGCTGACAAAAATTCCTAGTGGAAGGTAAAAACTGTCCCCAAATGTTGCATAAAAATGACTAAACTACTATTTTAAGGGATACACCAAACATTATTACCTTCTGTAATTACTTCCCACCATGATCACGTAACGTCCAAATCCCAAACGCAGGGGCAATGATATACAAAAAAGTAATCAAAGTGCCAACAAGCTCCTCATCAGACCTTTAGGCAGCCGAGGCGGTATTAACTGAAGTGTTATGCATGCACAGAGCAACAGTCTCTGATGCGTAGGTAAAACACTATGCTGTTGGAACGGGATCAAAATGAAGATCTAACACATCCACAATTTCTTTAATTCCCCTGCATAATCAACTCAGGTTTGCACTGACAACTCAGCTTGCTTCTGATCAGACCTAGGACACAGGCTTGGACTAACTAGGACAAAATTTTCATTCACCTCTGCTTTTGTTTTGGCTTCTGTCACACATTCAGCTATAAATGTAGGAAGGTACTCAGAATACCTACACAGTAAGTATCTTTTAAAAGTGCTCCCCTTACAGATCCTTAAGAAAATAGTATAAATTTACACAAGACTTGATCCTGAAACAAATGTAATGGTGAGAAATTAAACTATGTTGAGAAGGACCATTCATGTATGTCAGAACTAAGCATATTGGACGAACAGTACTTTTAAAACAGGAAAAAAACCCCACTGTATAATAACAGGTTCTTTGGTTACTGAATTTGAAGAATATACGTAATGTAGAAATTAGCTGCATGTGCATTATGCAAAGAGTGCTGCGTTTTATATGATACAAAGCACGAAATAGTTTCTAAATTATCTGATTATTAGTACTTCCTATTACCGTCAAAAAATACCTTGTTACACCACTTATTCAAGTCACTTGTAGTAATAGCTGAACACTGACCAACCTATTAGTCGGCGGAGCATTGGTTTTGTATTCTCGAACACAGAGCTGCAACTATCGCCCGCGGTTATTTACATAAAAGTTATTAAGTCACGTGCAGCTTCTCCCGATTTCTGCGAACAGCTTCCACACTAAGAAGATGTCACAGGCACAGACTCCACTCGCAAGACACGGCACCACAGAGGGAGCATTTCACTTTCCACCCCACCGTGACCGCTCACCGGACTGCCCCAAAAACATCACGCGGGGAAGGCGCATCGGAACGGCCCCGCAGCCACCGTGCGCCGTTTCCAGCGGAGGAGGGGGGACATCAGCCG